GCGGCTTGTGTGTCCAGCACCACGCCTGGCTGCCTCTATCTCCCCGCTGCTGCTGTATATTACACACCCCGCTCCAAGTGCTCATTTGTGGCCGAGTGGACCTAGCGAAGGAGCAGGACCAGAAAATCGCCTCCTCTTGATCTCAGCACGTGCGAGGTGCATCCGCTTGAGCTCGTTAACGTGCGCCTCATGCAGTCATTACCGGGCCTTGCAGGGCATGCCCAGGCCGACACCGCGAGCCCAATTAGTGGATTGCCGCAGCCTTGTTGCTGTGGCTGCGATTGGGGGGGGGGGGGGGGAGTCAGGTCGGGATGGGCAGGGCAAAGGGTAGCCTGCTCTAAGCCCCCGTACCCTCTACCCCCTTGCCCTCCCAGCCCTCCTCCCAGCTCTTCGAGGAATCGTCATTGTCCCAGTTGCGAGACGCATCTCCGCTCTCTGCTCGCACCTGGAAGGTCGAGGCAGGTGAGAAGACACCTGCGCAGGTGAGTTTGCTGCTGATAAGCCTGGGGAGATCTAACGATTAAGGCGTCGTTACAGGAAAACACAGTGGGATTGTCAAAATCGTTACATTCAGTTACAGTCCTTTGTCAATGCAAGCAGCTGCTGTGGGAAGGCGGCACTGCGTGACCGACACTGACTCGCGTGGTTTCACCAAACTTCACCACGCCGCTCGTTGGCCGTGGCGGCGGAGTGGATCTCAGCAGGCGGCAGCGTGGCTCTCCGCTGGAGCGCGGCCCCCACTGATGATGACGACGATGACGACGACGACGATGATGATGATGAGGCGGAGGTGACGACTTGTGCGCGACCTCCTCTCCCCCGGATCACAGAACGGGTTCTAAAGCGGCTGTTTTTGTCATCGTGATGATCACGGTACGGATAGACGCTGCCTGCAAATGAGACAAAAACGAGCCCCTACAGCCGTAGACTGTTGGGGTTAGTGCTGTTAGCGAGCACCTATTAAGGCCAGCCCGGTGTGTCATGGGGGAGGGGGGCGGTGGTGTGGCCAGCACCTCGCCTGGCCGCATGTTTTTATAATTTCCAGTGCCGACGTTTACTCACCGCACCAGGTCCTCATTTAAGACAGGATCGATCGCAGGCTGACCCAGGACCTGTTTATATTATCGCCAATGATGTTGGGCCATGGGCAGAAATCGAATTCACAGCTCGTCGGGATTCGTAGCGTGCGAACCACTGCGCCACCGCTTCGCCACAATACTTCAAGAGCACTCCGGTGTCGTCATCATCATCACGAGTATCATTTGTCATCAATCCACTGCTGGATGAAACGCCTCCTCAAGCTGTCGCTATTTTCTCTCACGATGCTGCGATCGTAGAGATCCACAGAGCACCTGGCACGCGACCTGATGACGCGCGTGCGGGTGCTGCTCCTCCAGGGGCAACTGCAGCGCGGCGCCTTCACCTCCAACTATCTGGACAGGTGGCTCAGCGGTTGAGTGAGCGTCTCGCATTTTGAAGGTGGCGAGTTCAAACCCTATTTGAGGCCTTTTTCGGCCCAACATTCCTCTGCAGGAGATTAAGTGAGTACCACCTCGCAGTTGATATCAACACACCCCTTGTCCCTCTGTAGACACTGTCCCCCGCCGTAGGAATGCCGAATTTCACGGGCTCAGGGCTGCAAACGGGACGTGTTCAGGTATCACTCGTTACCCCAGCGCATCCACACAATTATCCACGCGAGCAAACGCAGTCGCAATCAAAGGGCGTCGTGCGATTGATTGCACCTTTGATGTCTAATTCAGCAGTTGATTTAGAGTGGCCTCTAGTCACACACCGAGCGGGGCAAGTCTCCCATTAGCGTTCATAGTTAGGCGGACACCACGGGGTCGACATGCCAGTGCGGCAGTGCACAGGGGGAAAGGGCGACTGGACTTGGCTCGTGGTGGACAGTCGCCAAATGGACGAGCAGAGAGATGGAGAGAGAGACACGCGGGGGACGTGGCATCACGTGGCCGCGGCTGCTGCTGCTGCCCGCTCGCTCCCCGTCTGCGGTTCCTCCTCCTCGCCCCTCTGAGTTCGTCCTCTCTTTCCGTCGCGTTACAACTTGACAACGTGAGATACAGATGAGGCAGATATGTCGTGAAACGAGTTCGACAAGAGATGAAGATGAGTTCGATGGGAGAAGTGAGATGCGACAAGAGAGGGATGAGAAAGATGAATTTCGACTTCATATGGCGAGCGCCTTCTTCATTAAGATATGTGTTCTTGCATCATTTGGTGAGCGGGCCGAGACCATCCACTCGTCATCACTCGAGCCCCCGGCTTAATGACGGGCAGTGGCTGAGCCCAGGTTGCGAGCAGGGGTCTGATGGGTGCTGACTCGCCGCTCTGACCTCTGAGCCCTGAGCAAAGCAGCTGCCTCCCTCCGCTCCATTTTGTGTTCTCCCTTTACAGCACTCAGTCAGCGCTCGCGACGGAGGCTGTGGCTATTGAGGCTTCACGGGCATCGAACACGACCGCCTTCTGCTCGAGTCCGTTAATCTCGCGCTCTGCTCGCTTGGCGTTTCCCTCTCCGCCCTCCCCACATCCCCAAAAAGTTGTGGAAGCAGCCGCGCGGACGTGGGAAGCTCCCTCGAACGCGGGCAGTGCTCTGTGCCAACTTCATAATCGAAGTCAGATTATAAGGGCACGAGTACACACAGCAGGACGCGATGTGTAAACGAACTGCCATGCTCCCTCTCAAACTCCCATGATCCACACGGCGTGGTGGAGGCGGGGAGGCCTTCATCCAGCAGTGGATTTGAAAAGGGCTCTGCGAATCTGGCGACCCGAGTTCAATTCTCCCGCCCAAACGAATGTCAGCGGCTGCGAGTGGTGCGCGAACCGCTCCTGGCCCATCACCGCCTACAGCAACCTGGCCACCGTGGTGAAGTATGGTCAAACAAGTCGCAGGCCGAAACGGCGTAGCAGGGGATAGACACAAAGGGCTCCTCGATGGGATCGCCACAGGGAGCCACCCTCGCTGGGCCGCTGGGTCACCGCGGGCGTCGCGAGGAGCGGAGAGCGCGCGGGGAGGGAGCGCGGTGCTCTCCCGCGACGACGACGACGACGATGATTTGTTTGATGACTCACAGACTCGCCCCCCTCCCTCCGCTCGCGTGCGCTGCTACGAGGCGGAGAGGCAAGCACCGCAGAGTCCCCATCGAGAGGCGCCGCACGCTCGGCCCAGTCATTCGTGCAACCGCTGACGTGCGCCCACGTGCGCTCGCGCCATTCAGATGAGATCCCCGCGCGGCATCTGATCCACACCTGGGGGTCTCTTCTCCTCGTGCAGCTCAGTCTCCAGTGAGCGACTGAGCGCTCTGCGCAAAAGCATCCCCGCGGCTCTCCGCAACATTCTCCAACCCGAGATGCTCGGTCCGCTGGTCGCTAGGGGGCGCGCCAGCGCCAGGCGACGCGGTCCTGGGATTCATGACCGTGCAAGGGGGGGTCTCCCGATCTCATCCCCGGTGCTGGAGGTTGCATCCATCCTCGGGGATTCGGCTTCCCAACGAGGGGGGGGGGGGGGTCCGACGAGAATGTTTGCTGCCAACTGCCCACCCACACCCCAGGTCTCGTACAGACTCCGAGTGAGGCTCTGCGTACGCACGGCTCACACAGCATGATTTTGGCTCGCATGCCGTTTCTTATTCATACGTCACAAACACAAATGTTACCCTCATAGACTTTAACAGACTGGTGGGGCAGGTGCTGTTAGCGAGAACTTGTTCAGGCCGGAGTGGTACACGCCTGGCCGCATTTGTCTCTCCCAGAGGTCTGGGTTACTCACCGCAGAGCGTACTTATTTAAGGATGAATGGACCTAGGGGAGATGCAGAACCGGTTCAGCTATCACTCGTCACTGATGCGAGCTGTGGCCAGGAATCGAACTCAAGTAGCCGGGTTCGTAGTGCTTCGCTCCCAACAAAGCCACAAACATAACCACACATTAACAAGTCACACACAAACACGCAGCTTCTCGCACATACAACGATATCCCGTGTAGCCGACACAAAGCTGTTGTGGCAAGGGTGGGCACATCCCCCCGCACACAGAGCCACTCATACATAACACCGCCACACACCCAAAGCTGCTGCACACAAACTCAACAGATCCACAGTGCCAGACACGGTTACACAACTACACACAGCCACAGGCAGATCCGTGCAGCCCTGTATGAGTTAAGTGAATTGTGAAGGTGCCGATTATAAGTCGCACTTTTTCCCTCTCTATTTCAAAGCTAAAGTTGGAGGTGCGTCTTATAATCCGATAGGTACGTGTGTGTATATATGTGTGTGTGTATATATTATTGATATGGGGCACACGTTTGGGGTACGTCAGATCTCTCAAAGCGCCTTACAACCCGCTGAGTACGGTGACATTCACGACGTCCAAAGGTGAATTGGAGACCACGGTGGAATTCGGGCTCAAGCGAGGCTCCATCGCTCTCCAATGAACTCCGCTCTCTCCGCGATGTCCACGAGCTCGACTCTCTCGCTGTTGTTGCGCGGGGTCTCCCTGGTCCCTGTCCATGCGCATTCACGATCGCGAGTGCACAGACACGGGGGCCAGACCGGAGGAGCCCCCCGCAACGGCCGCTCGAGAGACGACCAGCTTGGTAGCCGTCGTCAATCACTCACTGGCCGAGCCGGTAGCGAGGCCGCGTGCCACTAATTAGAGGTGCAACTCTCGCGCGATTCGCTCATCACTCCGAACCAAAACTCTTCTCGCATCACCGCCAGCAACCTCCAGAAACAACCGCCACCTCCAACCACGGCGACCGCTCGCCGCATTTGAGCCCACGCAGCCGCACGCGCAGCGCTCTAAAGCCGCGCGGCGCACTCGCTGGCTGTGGCGAGAGTTGTGGATGTGGTCGTTCCGTGTGAGCCGCTGGGCAGGGGGCAGGGCGGAGTGAGGCGTGAGGGAGGAGAGAGAGAGAGAGGGGGGGAGGGGAGAGTTGTGTGTGTGTGTGGGGGGGACTGGGTGAGCGAGGAACGCGGCTATAGAAGAAGAGTTGTCGGACCCGAGGGTTGCGCGCCTCGCCCGCATGCGATGCGCGCGCGCGACCGCTGCCAATTCTCCGCCGCCTCGGCACCCGCGCCTCGCCCCAGCGTCGCGATGCCCGCTGGCTCCTGCTCGCTGGAGTCGTAGCCTCCTTCCCTCGTCCTGCCCAGCATCGACAGCAGCAACTTGGCTTGCGTCCGTCCGTTCGCGCAGGAAGGGAGGGGAGAAGCCGTGGCGAGTCGGCGCGCGGAGGAGAGCGGAGGCCGTGGAGTTTCGTGGAGTCGGGGAGTTCGCGTCCCGACCCGGGCTGTTTAAACCACGCACGATGATGGCTCCGCGGTGGATCGCGCTGGCTCTGTGCGTGGCTCTGACCCGGACCCGAGGAGCCGCACCTGGGGCAGGTGAGTCGCCGGCGGTCTCTGTGTCTGCGTGTTTGCTTATGTCCTTACGGACCAATTAGTGTGTGTGTGTTCCCGTGCATAGTATAAACGTCTTAATGGAGCAAGTGGGTGTGTGCGAGTCTTATTGCTGTGTATGTTTGCTGACGTCGTCTTTGGGAAGTTGTCTGCCCATGTGTAAGCTTGGGTCTTGTTGCGTGCGTGTGTGTTAAAGTCTTAATGGACCATTGCGTGTGTGTGTGTTAAAGTCTTAATGGAGCAATTGCGTGTGTGTGTTAAACTCTTAATGGAACAATGGCGTGTGTGTGTGTTAAAGTCTTAATGGAACAACTGCGTGTGTGTGTCGTCTCGCTCAAAAGCGGTCGGGCTTGGTGCTGGCCACCCAACCCCTCGTGCCGGCCTTCATCGGTGCTCGCGAACAGCACTTGCCCCAAAAGTCTGTTAAATCTGTACGGGGGATCTTTGTTGTTGTTCGTTCATTCGTCTCATTCGGGACGTTGTTGTGTGTCCTCGTATGTATTTTAATGTGACTATCAGCTCCACGTGTGCGCATCGCTCCTCTGCAATGTTTTCTTAAAGTCGCTGAGATCAGTTAAAAGTTTCGCGTGGCCACCCCCAGATGGTGGTGATGACGGTGGTGGTGGTGGTGATGACGGTGGTGGTGATGGTGGTGGTGATGGTGGTGGTGGTGCTGGTGTTGGTGGTGATGGTGGTGGTGATGATGGTGGTGGTGGTGGTGGTGATGATGGTGGTGGTGGTGATGGTGGTGATGGTGGTGGTGATGATGATGGTGGTGGTGATGGTGGTGGTGATGATGGTGGTGGTGATGGTGGTGGTGATGGTGGTGATAGTGGTGGTGATGATGGTGGTGGTGATGGTGGTGGTGATTGTGGTGGTGATGACGGTGGTGGTGATGGTGGTGGTGACGGTGGTGTGAGTGGGAGTCATTGTGTGCGCCTATATCGCTCACGGCAGGTGTGGTCACGCGTGTTTGTGTGAAAGTTGGCCACGTCACCTGGTGAAGGGTCTGTCACCTGCTGAAGTTGTGTTGTGCGAGTGTCCGGGGATCTTTGTCTCGTGCACGGATTTGTGTGCAGCGGGGAGCGCTGGGGTCGTGGGTGCTAATGTCGTGAGTTCAACTGAGTCGCAGACGTAGACTTGGAGGCAACACATTTATTCAGTTCCAACACACGGGGTAACTTTCCCCTTCACAGAATAACAACCTACGGTGGTGACCACCAGGCTAACTACACTAGTTACTACGTAACTAGCTACACTAGTTACCACGTGTTAGGTGAGTACCTGGCACTACGGGTCAAAATCAGCACTAGGGGAGACAAAGGCGGTCGGGCGTGGTGTTGGCCACCTCTATCATCGTGTGCCGTGCCGGCCTTCATAGGTGGCTCGCTAACAGCACTTGCCCCAATAGTCTGTTGATGGCTAGACGGAGGATCTTTGGATTTGAGTGTTCGACTGTTTGCAAGAGTGTTGTGTGTGCACGTGTGAGAGTGTTTGAGTGCGTGTTTCTGTTTGTCTGTGTGTGTGTCTTGAGTGCGTGTGTTTAAACGTGTATGTGTACATGTTTGTCGGTGTGTGTATTTGTCGGTGTGTGTTGTGTGTGTTTAACACGCAGGCTTTCGCGACCAGTATCATCCATAATACAGGTTTTTGGGGGTTTGATCGCGTAAATATAAATGTGTCCCTGTGGCTTTGCTCTCCAACATCTACAGTAAACATCTACAGTCAACATCTACAGTCAACATCTACAGTAAACATCTACAGTCAACATCTACAGTAAATGTTGTGGCTTTGCTCTCCAACACACCGCTGTACTGTACTGGTGACGAATTGGCTGTGTTAGGTGGTGGCGGGTTTAACGACACATCTATATATTTACGCGATCTAACCCCAAAAACCCTCTATTGTGTGTGTGTTTGAGTGTGTTGTGTGTGTTTGTCGGTGTGTGTTTGTCGGTGGTTTGTGTGTGTCGTGTGTGTTTGTCGGTGTGTGTGTGTGTGTTTGAGTGTGTTCAGTGTTTGTCGGTTTGTGTGTGTTGTGTGTTTGTTGGTGTGTGTGTGTTTGTTGGTGTGTGTGTGTTTGAGTGTGTTGAGTGTTTGTCGGTGTGTGTGTTTGTTTGTGTGTGTGTGTTGTGTGTGTGTTTGTTTGAGTGTGTGTGTGTGTTTGAGTGTGTTGTGTGTGTTTGTCGTGTCGGTGTGTGTGTGTTTGTCGGTGTGTGTGTTGTGTGTGTTTGTAGGTGTGTTTGTGTGTGTGTTTGAGTTTGTTGAGTGTGTTTGTCGGTGTGTGTGTGTGTGTTTGAGTGTGTTTGTCGGTGTGTGTGTTTGAGTGTGTTGTGTGTGTTTGTCGGTGTGTGTGTGTTGTGTGTGTTTGTCGGTGAGTGTGTCGAGTGTGTTTGTCGGTGTGTGTGTGTTTGAGTGTGTTGAGTGTGTTGTGTGTGTTTGTCAGTGTGTGTTTGAGTGTGTGAGTGTGTTGTGTGTGTGTGAGTGTGTTGAGTGTGTTATGTGTGCTTGTCTGTGCGGGTGTCGAGCCGGCCTTCAATAAATGATCGCGAACGGCACTTGCCCCAATCGTCTGCCGAAGGCTATACGGGGGATCTTTGCCAGGGTGTCGGCGCAGTGCCCCGTGTGAGTGAGTGAGTTCTGCTGCGCCGTGAGTTTGAGGGGTCAACTCCAACCCCGACGGGTCTCCTCCTCGCGGTCTTCCGCCCTGCGGCCCCGGACCACGGCGAGTCGGTGGTGGTGGTGGCGAGTCGGTGGTGGTGGTGGCGAGTCGGTGGTGGTGGTGGCGAGTCGGTCGTGGTGGTGGCGAGTCGGTGGTGGTGGCGAGTCGGTGGTGGTGGTGGCGAGTCGGTGGTGGTGGTGGCGAGTCGGTGGTGGTGGTGGTGGCGAGTCGGTGGTGGTGGTGGTGGCGAGTCGGTGGTGGTGGCAAGTCGGTGGTGGTGGTGGCGAGTCGGTGGTGGTGGTGGCGAGTCTGGGGGGGGGGGGGGGGCTGGGGATCGCCTCCCAAGTCCACGGCGTGGAACGCGGCTAGGAGGGCCATCCACTTAGTGCGTACACATGGAGGGGGGTAAACCCCAATGCGTAGTTTACGCATGGGGGGTCTACTGACAATGTACGCATAGGAAACGGAGGGGGGGGGGTGAAGCCTCGATAATAATTCGTCTACGTTGGCCTTCAAATGAGTTAGTCCGGCGGTGGCCTGTCTGTTTGCTTAAACACGTCAATATTATTAATCCTTGGTCGTTTCTGTGTCGATTAAATATCGGCCGTTCTATAGGATACGGGGGGGGGGGGGGGTGTCAGGCGTACCTACGCAGGTGGGGGAGGGGGTGTGAGAAGTCCGCGTGAGTACAGGGAGGGGGGGGTCAAGTCGTGACAGACCCATGCCTACTCGGCACTGCATGGATGGCCCCTTGGCAGACGAGGCGCGTGGGTAGTGGAGCAGCAGCAGCAGCCACGTGGAGAGAGACAGGGGACTGCTGCGACACGCTGAGTCGAGTTCCCCGCGTGCTTGTTTGTGACTCCCGTTTGCGGAGACTTACGAAGTCCATCACGTATGTTGAACTTCGTTCGCACCGTACGTAGCCAACCGTGCTAATCGGAGGTGTTTGGGAAGGAGACCAAACTAAACACAAAGTAACTCTAAATTGATGAGTTTTCAGTGACACGGAGACAGCCCCACAGGTTCACGCGGGGACCATCGTCTCAGCAGAGAGAAATACACGAACAGAGACCCCCACAGGCTCACACAGAGACCCCCACAGACTCACACAGAAACCCCCACAGACTCACACAGAGACCCCCACAGACTCACACAGAGACCCCCACAGAGACCCCCACAGAGACCTCCACAGAGACCCCACAGAGACCCCCACAGAGACTCACACAGAGACCCCCACAGGCTCACACAGAGACCCCCACAGGCTCACACAGAGGCCCCCACAGGCTCACACAGAGACCCCCACAGAGACCCCCACAGAGACCTCCACAGAGACCCCACAGAGACTCACACAGAGACCCCCACAGACCCCCACAGACTCACACAGAGACCCCCAGAGAGACTCACACAGAGACCCCCACAGAGACTCACACAGAGACCCCCACAAACCCCCACAGGCTCACACAGAGACCCCCACAGACTCACACAGAGACCCCCACAGAGACTCACACAGAGACCCCCACAGACCCCCACAGACTCACACAGAGACCCCCAGAGAGACTCACACAGAGACCCCCACAGAGATTCACACAGAGACCCCCACAGACTCACACAGAGACCCCCACAGACTCACACAGAGACCCCCACAGAGACCCCCACAGACACACACAGAAACCTCCACAGAGACTCACACAGACTCACACAGACTCCCACAGACTCACACAGTCTCGTGCAGAGAGCCCAGCCCGGTGCGGCATCACCCGCATCTCCACTTGTTGCTGCATCCCCACTCTTACTAATCCGCCGTATCAACTATCCCCCCGTATGCATCATCATCTGAGACGGGAGAAGCCGAGGCAGCTTTGTTTGTTCCCCTGCACGAGACTCGGCATCGTTCAATGAGAACAAAACCACCCACCAAGTGACTGCCAGGCGGGCGTCACGGCGGCGACGTCACCTCCCAGTCGCTTCACGTCAGCGCCGTTTCGTAACGATGGCTCCGCGCCCGATCGGGGTTTTACATCTCTTTAGTTTGTGTTCTTCTTTATCTGTTGTTCATGTTTATGATCCGTGTCATAGCGGGTGATATAGAATGATTACACAACGACAGGTTTTTTTAATGCACAATAATAATTTACAATTCCGCTTTTGAGTATTTTTGACAAAAGCAGTGGATAAGCATGGGTTGTGATGAATGAACGAAGCTTGAATCTATTGCTGGACGTTCCTGGAGCATGGAGCCTCCTGTGTGTGTCTACGACATGGGATCCGTTTCGTTTTTTGGGGATTGCCAATAGCTTTACGAGGCATCAGCAGGGGTTCATTTA